ATCATGTACTATAGAGAACACTTAAGCGAATACATTTGTGCTAAATGCCCTGTTCTTTTACGTGTTCTCCTGGTCAGGGAAGCAAGAAGTGTGCTGTTGAAATCTGAAAACTCTTAGGTCCTCACCATCCCTTTCTGTCTTCTCTCTGCTCTGGGGATGGGGCCCAACAAAATGAAAACAACCATAGACATACAATCCCTGTAGCAATATGCTGTCATTACACAATGTGAATGCACTGCTACTGCCCTTTACTGGCTAAAATATCAGACCTGGTCAAATATGCATCATCATGTAGTCCTTTTATGGCTTCAGCCTACAGATGACAAACCTTAAAACAACTTCACAGGTGTGAATCTTGCTGAGATTACTACTGCTAAATGAATAATGTTGAACTGGGCTGTATCCAACATATGTTTTCCCATTGTCATCCCAACATAGATTTACCATCATCAGACTTCCTGATGCCATGGCAATAAGTGCAGGGCTAGAACCTAGTCAGGTAAACACTAAGTGCTACACTGGAAAAAATAACCCCAACTATACATACAATATGATGGGGGCTAATTTAGCTACAATGAATCAGGAAAAAGATCTTGGAGTCATCATGGATAGTTCTCTGAAGATGTCCACACAGTGTGCAGAGGCGATCAAAAAAGCAAGCAGGATGTTAGGAATCATTAAAAAGGGGATAGAGAATAAGAGAGAGAATATATTATTGCCCTTATATAAATTGATGGTACACCCACATCTTGAATACTGCGTACAGATGTGGTCTCCTCATCTCAAAAAAGATATACTGGCACTAGAAAAGGTTCAGAGAAGGGCAACTAAAATGATTAGGGATTTGGAACAGGTCCCATATGAGGAGAGATTAAAGAGGCTAGGACTTTCAGCTTGGAAAAGAGGAGACTAAGGGGGGATATGATAGAGGAATATAAAATTATGAGTGATGTGGAGAAAGTAGATAAGGAAAAGTTATTTACTTATTCCCATAATTCAAGAACTAGGGGTCACCAAATGAAATTAATAGGTAGCAGGTTTAAAACAAATAAAAGGAAGTTCTTCTTCACACAACGCACAGTCAACTTGTGGAATTCCTTATCTGAGGAGGTTGTGAACACTAGGACTATAACAGCGTTTAAAAGAGAACTGGATAAATTCATGGAGGTTAAGTCCCTTACTGGCTATTAGCCAGGTTGGGTAAGGAATGGTGTCCCTAGACTCTGTTTGTCAGAGGGTGGAGATGGATGGCAGGAGAGAGATCACTTGATCATTACCTGTTAGGTTCACTCCCTTTGGGGCACCTGGCATTGGCCACTGTCGGTAGACAGGATACTGGGCTAGATGGACCTTTGGTCTGAGCCAGGACGGCCGTTCTTATGTTCTTATGTACATTGATGTGCAAATTTTGATTCTGAAAGAGTTTCAGCAGAAATTATTATATATGCCCAAAGAACTACAGAAACACATTTTTCATGGATTTATGTGGTATCAAAGACAACTGTCTGACTTAGGGTACCAGTTCTTATTTTTGATCAGAATGGATGCTGGCTTTACGTTTACAAGCTGCCAAATACTAAACCAACAGAAACAAATTTTAAAAATATCCTTTTTTTCCCCTTCATAGTAGAGTAACATTTAAGTTCCTGATCTTGAAAGTCCAATGCCTTAGAATTCCCATCAAACTACCTTGTCTCTGTTATTTCACACAGAGGATATGCAGGGCTTGATTTTCAGAAGTACTTGAAAACTCACAACTCGGCTGAAATCTGTGGGTGCTGAGCACCTCTGAGATTAGGCCCTGTAGTCCCCATCTCTTCGGCCAAATTCTCTCTCTCTTGCCTTTTTAAAAAGTAGAATTAAATTGTGTCTATATTCTGACTGGCTCATCCCCACTTCTATGGGCATGAGTATTATGAACAGGGAAGTTGTTTAGTGATTATGGGCAGATTGGGTATGTGACAGCATCTATGTCAAAAGATGTCTAAAAATCAACAGCAGGATATTGCCTGCCTGGGGCATCCCAGGACAGTTACTCACTACTCTGAATCTGCCTCTCAGCCAGGGCCGGCTCCGGGCACCTGCCGAGCAAGCTCGTGCTTGGGGCAGCAGATTCTAGGGGGCGGCATTCCGCCCAAACCTAGGGTCTGTAGCAAGCCTGCATCCTTCCCTCCCCACCGACCGGAGCGGCGCGGAGCCCTCCTGGCAGGCGGCACGGCGGTCGGGGCCGCGTGGCGAGCGCCCCGCTGAAGCCCTGGCCGGCCCCCTTCTCTCTCTCCCCCTGCTAGCCAGGGCACGTCTGCAGCACAGGGAGTCCCTCTGCACCCTGGCTC